ACGTTGGAGACGTATCAGCTAACATACGCAAGTAAGAGCGAGACGATAAGCAACGTAATGGTCGAGAAGCTAGAAGTGATCAAGAAGTGATCCTGAAACTACTTACGTTTAAGCATAACACAAGACCGTGTTCACTTCCCAGACTTCGCCGAAAAGATACCATCACGGCTACACACGCGGTTGATGCATTTTAATTAAGTCAAGTGTCAAGTTCTCTACAACCGGATATTAACAAATTCCCATCTGCCACATAACTGTGGGCATGGCTTTCAAAAGTTTAAACCCTGCAGGGGTGTCCCAACTTAGCCCATCACAAGCTCTCACGGTCAACGAAGGATATTCCTTCTCTCGGAAAGACTCGACCAGTCTCGGAATCCCGGTTACATGACATTTCGACAATGATAAAACAAGACCAGCAAAGCCACCCGATGTGCCGACAACCCCGATAGGAGTCGCACATATCTCGTTCTCAGGGCAACACCGGATGGGACTAGCTACGAGTAAAACCAGCCCTCAAGTTTCCCCGAGGTGGCCCCGCAAGCAGCTCGGTTCGGACCAACACTTAGAGAGCACTAGCTCGGGGGGGTTAAAATAAAGATGATCCCTCGGGTTGGCCGACCCAAGGGAAAGGTATAGGTTGCTAGGCAAATGCAAAACCAAGGTTGGGCCTTGCTGGAGAAGTTTTATTCAAAGCAAACTGTTAAGGGGTTCCCATAACACCCAACCACATAAGGAACACAAAATCAAGAAACATAACACCGGTATGACGGAAACTAGGGCGGCAAGAGTGGAACAAAACACCAGGCATAAGGCTGAACCTTCCACCCTTTACCAAGTATAGATGCATTAATAAAATAAGAGATATTGTGATATCACAACATAACCATGTTCCAACATGGAACAAACTTCAACTTCACCATATTGTGATAGCACAACCAAGTATGATGCATGTCCGATTTAATGAGGCATGGCATGGCAAAATGCACAAACAATACTACAAATTAAGTGGAGCTCAATATGCAACGAGTTGCATATTGACGAAACACCACATGACTTATTTAGTTCCCTCTCCTTTATGTACCCAACAAAATTAAATGTTATTAAACATGGCAAGGGGTGGCATATGCTAACTATTTAGACAAGTTTAAATGAGGCCGGAACAACAAGCAACAAGTCCGGAAAAATCCTCATGAGCATATATTAGATTTGGTACTGTTCTGTCCTAAAGCATATTTTAAAGTTTTTAAACATCAAAATAAAGTGAACCAAGTTATTCTATGCATTTTTCTACCCCATTTACATATAAAATTTATTAAATTTGGAGCTACGGTTATTTAGTTATGAAATAAATCATTTTAGCAAGGCATAAGAGCAAAATTAAACAAACAACATTTTAAACATTTCAAACATGGATGAAAGTGGCTTATTATAAAACTACACAAAATTCTAAGCATTTTTCATATTAAGTTTGTTTAATTCCGATGCACGGTTGTGGAGTTATTAAATGCATGAACACTAGGGGCTTTTCTGTAAATCTATTTTTACTGGATAAATCCTAAAATCGACCAGAGGGAAAAAAACAAGCACTGTGCCTAATCTTCTAGGCGCTGGGCTAGGGTGTTCTCACCACTGGGCCTAACAGGCCGGTTCGGTGGAGAGACTGGCGGGGCACTGCTGGGCCGGGGCGAGGCCGGCCCACGCGCGTGCGAGGGAGGCAGCCCAGCGGTGCGCTCGTCCTCTCCCTCAGCCCGAGGGAAGGCAAGGGCGTCGACGACGGCCGGCGGTGAGCACGGGGAAGGGCAACGGAGGTCGGGAACGGGTGCGGGGCGGCGGATCCGGCCTCGGGGCGTCGCGAGGGCATCGGATCTGGCGATGAGGACGGTCAGGGAGACGAGCGGCGAAGGTGGCGGGCTCCGCAAGGTTAACGAGGCGGTTCCGGCAAGGAGGCAGGGAGGAGGCCGCGGGGCGAACGGATCCCAGCCACCCGGCACCCGATCTGGGCAGTGGCGGTGACTGGACAGCGCGCGGCGCGGTGGCGGAGGCGCTGGAGCGCGTCGGCGGCGATCGGCCGGCGCGATGGGCGGCGGGGTTCGACGGGGTTGAAGCGGGATCTCCCTGGCGGCGGGGTGGGCTGCCTCGGGCCCCGATGGGCTCGGGCGGGCCTGTTGCGGGCCCGAGTGGGCTGGCGGCGGAGTGGAGGCGCGCGGGACAGGTGGCGTGCCCGGATTGGCCGCGGGCGGCGGCTTGCCTGCCTGGCGGCGACAAGTGGCGGCGGGGAGCAGCTGGGCGCGGAATCTGAGGAGGGGGAAGGCTAGAGGTAGGTGGGTTGGTCTAGGTTTATATAAGGAAAGGGGGGGTTAGGATTAGGGTTAGCAGGGGTTTTCATCCGCATTCGGGCATCGGATCTCGATCCGACGGTCCGAAGCGGAGGGGATAAGTAGGTGGGCTAGGTGGGCTATGGAGAGGCCGTGGGCTGAGAAGAGAGAGAAGCAGAGCGGCCCGGCGACTATTTCCGGAGACCGAAAACGTCCGACGTTTGACCGACTATATTGCGGCCATATGTTTAACGGTTGGGCTATCAAACGAGCTCTGAATGCGACGAAAATTGACAGCGGCCTACTGACAACATAACAACACCGCATGCCAACTTTCAACCCATTTCGAGATTATTTTCCTGCCACTTATAAAATAATATTTCGGATGTGCCGCGGGCGCGTGCAAGTATGTCTGGGCTCAGAACGGACAACAGACGGAACTGGGGGAACCCGGACAGATGCAAGTTTTGAAAACATGATGATGCAATGCACATGATGACATGGCAAGATGCAACACGCAAGCGAAAGACATGGCAACAACGCGCATAACTAGAAGACACCTGGCGCAACGGTCTCGGGGCATTATAGGTGCGCTAGGAATGGATGTGTTCTGCTCCTCCTCCTCCCCCTTTCCCTAACCTGGTGCTTCTTGACTCCGGACCTGGCGTTGTTCGAGGCAAGCTGGTCGCTGGCGGCTTCGCCATGGTCGAGGTCTGCCGGTTGGCTTGAAGCCCACACTTTGGGAGCTCTCGGTGGTGTCTGGTCGTAGGGCGGCAGCCTTGGTGGTGGGAACCACTATGCTCGTGGGCGAAGCTTGTGGCTCAGGGGCTGTCTGACTTCCATGGCCGTGTAGACGACGTGGAGGTTGGGTTTCGACTGTTTCATGGCGTTGGTGTGGTTCATCTTGTGGTTGACCGCACCTTGATCGGAGGCAGAGCGGGTTTGCCGGGGGTATCCCCTGTCTGGCCTCTGCCAGACCGACGCTGGCGGTGTTCGTGGGTGTCATATGTTTCTTGAAGGCTCCGTCGCGGCGTCTCTCTGTTCTTCGAGTTGCTCCGGATGAAGATCTTGATCATTTGGATCAGGCGGTGATGGCGCCCGGTGTCATACCCTTCTTGAACGCATCGCCTTAGATCCCATGTCTCGTCGATGCTCGGCATCATCTCTTCGCGGTGGCTTGTTCACAATTGAGAACCACGGTATCTCCATAGTGATGCTTATTGTCGACCTGATGTTTGCTTGGAGTTGTATCAGCTCCTATGTATCATGTCTTGGATGTGCATGTATGTTGTGGTGGCGTGTATTTGTATCGAATCATATGTTGGTGATTGCCTTATCTATAACGCGGGGCAAAAGTCTTTTTCAGTAATTCAAATCCATGGACCTCGTTGCATTGGACCAATGGTAATGATACAAAGAATACACACAAGTGATTGTCCATTAATCCTCCGGGTAGGTGTGTTCCTTCTCCCCTCGAGTGCATCACACATAGCGCCAAGACATCAAGGCCGCAGGTGATGGACACCGGTTCATCTTTGTGTAAAGGCTCTAGCGAACCTGCCAGCACAATCATTAAAAAATAAAACACTAGAAGCAGAAAGGCAAAAGACTCACGGACAAAAATGACGACGACCTTATTACTAAAAAATACAGATGAAAGGAAAAACCCTAGAAAATAAACAAACATCAAATAAATATTGCATACCAAATGGCACAGCAAAAGCGGGCGGCTGTTTTTAGTAAATTCTGCGTATGATTGAGGTGAAACCCAATCAAAGAGCAATGCTAGGTTCACGGGCTAAGTTTTATAGAGTTTATTGGCTGATTGGATTAGGGAGGGTGGAGGGCCGACTCCCGTGAAAATCAGGGGAAATAGTTAATTTTTTTAACACAGTATAGACGCAAGCGTTCATATAAACGCGTATACACTCACCCCTATGAACGCACACACGCACACCCTATCCCTATGAGCACCTCCGAAAGACTGAGCCGGCATATCATCTTGAGATTTTACGAAGTCACCGTAGGCGCCTCGTAGTCGACGGGAACGTCTCCTTCCACTGAAAACGTATTGCCGGAATTCTTGAAATAAATCCAGCATAAATGCGAGAGTGTGAAGGGAGCCCGTAAAAGTCCGTTGTCGCTCCGTGGATGTAATATTATCGCCCAATCAAAATATGTTCGTGTACGTCGTGGCCCTACATTTCTTTTTTACTTTCAAATAGATTTTCTTTAAGAACCTGTCTTGAGACGAGTGGTGAGCTTTTTCCACGGGCTGTTTTGCATTCCGTTTGAGAAGTTTCGAGGTTCATTCCGTTAATGCGTTGGAGAAGTTGAGTGGAATGGTAAATGCAAATTTTTTTAAACATGGAAAATGGTAAATACGGTTTCCAAATGTGTACAGGACACTTTTCAAACTGCGCGCCGGTAAAAATTTATCAACGGACATACGCGGCGTCCATCAATCACTGTAGCCGAACGGTCATCTGTTTCTGCTTTTACCATTTTTCTACATTTTTTATTTACCCCAGTCCAGCACTATTCCTTCCCCCCTCCTTTCACCCCCTCCTCCCCTCCCCTCTCCTCTGTGCCGTCTGCAACTCGTCAGTCCTCTCCTCTCCGCCATTTTTGCCTGAAGCACCCCTCCACCAGGATTCCACGAGCGCGGAGGCGGAGGCGGAGGCGATGGCGATCGATCAATCCCTCAAGGCAAGTTCACCCCCTCCACTTCCTTCGATTCGTGCGGCTGTGATTTATACTTAGTTCGTGGTCGAGGGTTTCTTGATTTCTCAGCGTTCTCTTGAATCTTCGATTAATGGAGCGTTTTACACTGCAATCACGTGACATCTGGATTCTGGAGGGCTCCTTTTGTTTTATTTCGTCATCCTGTGATAGCTTTGGAGAAAGTGCTTCTTGGAACATTAAAAAGAAAGTGTTTCTTGAGAAAATAAATCTTTCGACCGTCCAGCCAGAACAGTTTTTGTTTCTCTACGGCCTACTGCTAGATGGGATTGGTAATGCAAAATGATTGATTGTTGATTGTATGTTGAACTTAAGTCTCTGCTTTGGGCGGCTGCTTTTCAGAGGAAGAGAGGGAGGCCAGCAGGAGGAGGAGGTTCCCCGTCTGTCAACAAGAGCCAGCGAGATAAGATGGTCATGGAGCAGAAGATGGCACTGGTGCATCAAAGGCTCGCCTTGCTTGACAGCGAGAGCGACAAGGATGCTGATGTTGTGCCGACGGCCACAATGGTGAGGTCCTTCAGCTTGAGATCGACTCGGATTGTGGGCCACTGCAGGTCTGCAGTAGTCTTTATTTTCTGAATCTTGATCAGATTTACTATGTGGGGCTGCCTCTGATAAACTATAATGGACTTGGTCAAAAAAGTAATAATGAAACTATAATGGGGTCTGAAACCGTCTGTTTAAGGTTTTCCCCCCTTCAAATCTTCACTGTCTCACTAGCACTGTAGCAACTAATACTTCCAACATTATGAGGTTTCCTTGGATGACTGCCGGAGTCTGTCTCTGGTAAAGTAAATTGAAGTATGGACTAATTTGTTATGTTATTTTTCATGTTTCATTATCATGGTGGATACTAATGCAACCAATTCTCATGACCGTATATGCATTCTATGTTATGAGATTATCTGTTTCTTTTTGGCCTTTTGTTGAAACTTCAAATTTTTTTCATGACATGATTATATTTAATGATAGCAGGATGATAAGCTTGCTGCTGTTGTTGTTGATCAACAGCCTGTTGTTATTAATTTCGGTGACACAGATGACGAGGATGAATATGTTCCTTTGAGAGTAAGTGAACCATTGGTTGTTGCTTTAGCCCTCTTGTATTAATTAGGGAGTAAATTTTGTGTACATACATTCCACATGATTACATGTGCATTTGTGGCTCTAGCTCCTCGTTTGTTTTCCCTTTCATCTCACAATTTCACTGAATTACGAGCGTTCAGCTTACTGATCTAACTTTTCTAAGAGTTGGTTTATTCGTCATGTCAGATTGTGCGGCCACGGAGGTTGGACAGTGAACAAGAAAAGCTGCTTGATGTTTCTCAAACACACAATGCTCAGGGTACTGACACCGCTAAAGTAAGATAATTCAGTAGTTCCATTCTTGTCATTGCGCATGCTATTTGGTCGTTATCGTGGAAAATTACAGTTAGTAAACAGTTCTTCCAATTTTTCATTTATGAGTTCATAATGCTTCAAAGATTTTGAAGCCCAAAAATTCAGTAATTTTCTTATCTTCAACAATTGCATAAAATGGTTCAAAGATTTTGGCTGGTTGGGTTTCAGAAGAAGAGAGGGAGGCTTGTCAAGGCCCAGAGCAACATGGAGCAGAAGTTGAAATTGTCAACACCAAGGCTTGCCTTGGTTGAGAGCGGCTGCAGTAACAGCAGCAAGAGCGACATAGAAGAAGATCTTGTGCCGATGGTGAGGCCCATGGAATGATTCCACGTTACCGCATTTAAGACACTCTTGTTGTTCAAAACCTGAAAGAATCACGTTTTCATATGTTACATACCTTCTTTTTGTGAACATACATATGTTACATACCTTCATTTTAAAAAAATGATGTCATAATTTGGTTTAAGTGGATCAATATGTATTTTTCACACTTCAGGATTCAGATGACTGGCTCAAAAAATCTTAATGGGCTGAATTTCTGGACACAATAGTGAATGTGTTTCTAAACATTTATGGACTCTGCTATGTTCATATGCGTTGCCCCATAGAGTCTATATAACTGTTATCTTTTAACCTCCAGTTTCTTCACTTTCTATTTAGTTCAAAACTGAAACCATGTACTCACTATGAATAAGCGTGACTTGACAGGTAGCTGCTGTTAATTGCAAAAAGACATGTGCAAGGTACTTCAAACTTTTCTTGTTTTCTCGAGAGTAAGATGCATTAACAGTTCTCAAAAAGCATACTTACTCAATTCAATCTTTGAACAAACTACAGAGTTCAGGGTAACTTTGGGTCTGCTATGGAGAGAGCTGAGGAGGTACTGGTAAAGTTACCAGCCGAACATCCTAGCTTTGTCAAGCATATGCTACATTCACATGTTGTTCAGGGTTTCTGGCTGGTAAGTCTATTGATTAGCTATTTACATGTTTGTTCAAAGCTTAAGAATTAGGTGATCATTTCTTATGAACAACATGTGGACCCAAGACGCCAAATATTGAATGGGAGGAAATGCCTGCTAAACAAAAATACAGATTACCTTTTCTTTTATATCAGAAGGTAATCAAATTTCTGGGCAAAAAAGCTCTCTGCAAAAGTGGAAGCTGTACAATTTAGAGCACCTTATGATTTTTGAAATTTAGTTTCAGGTAGAGCAGTCTCAGAAGCTTAGTATATGTGTGGACGCTTCCTGAGTGTCACTTAGTGTACATGGGATGGGATTAATGAAAACATCTCCTTTTCTTTGTTTTTGCTTCCTCTGCATTTGAATTTTACGTTCCTCCCCCAGGGTCTACCGTCTGGCTTCTGCAACAAGCATCTCCCAAAGAAGGACGTTACTATTGTGCTTGAAGATGAGGATGGGCATAATTATGATGCAAAATATCTAGGTGCCAAGCAAGGACTTAGTGGTGGTTGGAGAGGTTTTGCGCTTAATCATGATATTAAGGTCGGAGATGTTGTAGTCTTTCAACTTGTCAGTTCAGCAAAGTTTAAGGCAAGTCTTTCCCAATACATTTTCAATTGCTTGATCATTCTTTTACACTATTGATTGGCAGGCACTACATTCATTAATGTTTGCAGGATATACATTTCTTGAATTATTTTGTGCGTGTTCTGTCCGCACTTATTCAATATTTAAAGTTTCTCTTGTCTTTTGTACGCTTTCCATTCAGGTCTATATATTGAGAGCGAACAACTTCACTATAACTGATGGAGCACTTGGTCTCCTGTGTTTGGAAGCAGGCAAAGAGAAGATATTGAGTGAGTCAAAGTTCATTGTGTTGATTTTACACTTGTGAGTTTTATTGTACATGGATAAGCTAACCATTGAATCTTCTGAATGATGTTTTGGTTCTGCAACACAGAAGAAGAAAGATCCATTGATGTCAAATCTAAGGAGAATCCAAAGTTTCGGAGCGATGGCAGTAACCCAGCCAGTGACTCAATAACAGACGGCATCAGATTTTCAGATACAGCCATCGGTTTCGATGATGTGAAAAGTTTCAGCAACTTCAACATCATCGTAGATGGTCTGGTCATCGACTGCAAGTTTCCTGACCACCTACGCAAGACGTACTACGAGCTGTGCTGTGCCCAGGAGTCATTCCTTCACAAGGATCTGCTTAAGCAGATAAACCTCACACTCGCCGTGGGAGTGATCATGGAGACTATCAACATCGCGGAGGGTATCAGAGCATGCAAAGCGCATGCTTCTTCCCATGAGGACTTTGTGATCTGGAAGAAGACCTTGGAGGCCTTTGAGCTCCTGGGCATGAATGTCAAGTTCTTGCTCAAACGCATCGATGATCTCCTCAGCCTTTCTGCTCTACCTAGAGACCCTGCTGAGCATGAAGGGTACAAAGAGATGAAACTGGAGCGGGCACGTGCCGGAGCAAAAATGAAGGAGCTCGAGTCCATGATGTCAAGTGTGAAGGACACTCTGAAAAAGATGGACGTGGAAATGGAGGAGATGGAGTCCAGTGCGAAGAGGACGGATGAGATGCTGCGGCGGTTAGCAACCGCACCATGGTAGTGGTATGCGCACAGCTTCGGTCTCGACCGCAGACGGACGATGTTTTGGGCGACATGGATGTTCAGTATGCAGAGGCAGATGATGCTCTGGATGGGGTCTAGCTTTGCAGAAGATTAGAACTGCATTGTGGCGGCAGCGTTTAGTTTCAGAGTAACCACTTTTTGTATAAATGCAATCTGAGAGTAGTTATCTGTGTGTCATCTAGGTAGGTTTTACGCTTCTTGTGCAGCAACTAGGATGCTGTTTTTTGGGTACACATCAAGTGTTGTAACCTATCCCCATCCCATCCCCCCTATGTAAATTACGCGGAACTGCACTGTGGCAGTGCTGAGAATGGAAGGAAGAGAGATGCAGTCTGGTTTGAGTAGTTGTTGAGTGCATTTCAGTGTGTGTTCCCTGCGTTTGTTAGTATTGTGCAGGCAGCTGTTTTGCTTCTTTTCTTTCTTGGTCACTGCTGATTCGGCTAGTTAAACCTTCGAGACCGTTTGCCTCTGGCTAGGGCGTTCTTATGCACTCAAGACAGAAAAGAAGCCCTAACTGACTGCATTCCTCCTGCAAGGTCTCCGGCGAGATGAAGTCCTGAGAGGAACTCGAACGTGTGACCCAAACGGACGTGTGCTTTGTCCGCCTTTTGTCAGTTTGGATCGGACATCAGAGTTTGTTTTTCCATTTGGGTTGGCGCGTGCACCGAACGCTGATCCAATCCATATTTTTTAAACACTGACTTAAGAAAAAGAGCAATCACGTTCAAATTTAAACATAAATAAAGCATTTAAAACCGGTTAGCTGCTGGCCAAAGTCCACATCTACATTAAACATGAAATAAAAAAAGTCTGCGCCGGCCGCGCATGGTGCCCTAGGCGATGAAGACGCTCGAAGCAACGCCGGTGAGGTCGACCAGCTGCGGCGCCAGGCAGCCCACGGGAGTGCCACCTCCCAGGCCCGAGCCACGTCGCCCTGCTGCACCGGCTGCACTGCCTGCTGGGCTGCTCCGGTGCGGGCATGACGCTCCTCCTCCTTCTGGCAGCGCTCTTCCTCCTCACGCTCCCTCTGCATAAGTCGCTGCCGTCAGCGCGCTCCTCTGTCAGCGTGTGTTGCCTCCTGCGCCGGCGTTGCGCCTAGGGGGAGCGCGGACCCACTCGTGCACCTTGCTAGTCCAAACGCAGCGCTCGGTGTGCTTTGTCAACGGCGGCGGGCGAGAGGGGTGGGGGTGGGGGTGAGCCTCGGCGGCGACAGCAACACTACGCAGTCGCCGGCCGTAGAGAGGGTGACGGCCTCCGCTAGCCTCGCCTGGTAGTCTGCCTCCTCTGCCTCCGCCTTGTGCCGCTCCTCCTCGATGGGGGTTTGCATGGCCGTTGCCAGCGCCACCTGGTACGCAGCCTCCTCCTCCCCCTCCTCCAGCTTGACGACAGGGACGTCGGAGGGTTGGTGTGGTGCTCCTGGACACCGAGGCGGCGTTGCTCCTCACGCTCGAGGGAAAACCACACCTCCCTGTTGGGAGAGTCCGGCCCGTACATCGGCATCCGACGTTGCTCCGGCGGGAGGAGCTCCCGCCGCCTGCGCACCTCCTCGGCGTGCGCCCGCTACATCCGCGGCACATCCGACACTAGGATCCGCTGCGGATCCAGATGCCAGTCGTGCGACCGCATGACGTCCGAGTACGGCAGCGGCTGCCTATACAGCCAGTGCTAGCGCGCCTGGTGCATCACAATGTGCAGGCGCTGCCGCACAGGGCGGGCAGGCGTCGATGGTGGCGAAGGAGGAAGCGCGCGCGAGGAGGATGCGTTGGGGGTGAACTTCCCCTTGCCCTTGCCGGAGCCGGTGAAGAAACCCATGGCCAAGGTCTGATTGTCGTCGGCGAGGGAGCACACACCGGGGGGAGGGATGGTAGATGTGGACGGGAAGTGGAAGTGGATGAGGCCGCCCCCCCGCACGCGTGGATTGAAAAAGGATGGTCTCCCGTAGCTTTCAGTCATTGACGCATGGGCCCGCAATAGGTGGATGCGTTGAATGCGACCGCGTATGATGGTTGGTCGGCCGACATGCGGGCCGCGGTGGACACCGAGATTAGTATTATACTTATGAGTTCTGGTGCATCTAAAGAAACAAATCATCTCACTCGCTCGATCAGTCTTCCCCCCTCCATGATGATGCTTTCCATGTGCAACTTCGTCCTCATGCTCTCCTCCGGATATGGCCACGTTAGTGCCAGACTTCTGTTCTTCACCCTCCAGGATCGACGGAGTTGGGCCCCTCCCCAGCCACTGGTTCCATCTTGAAGTTGAGGTTTGCTTTGCCGACGCCATGAGAAGATGAGGTGGGTGATAGGAAAAGGGAGATGAGGGGTGGTTCGCGATGGGAATAATGGACGAGAGAGAGAGAGAGAGAGGGAGGCGAAGGGGGAGGGAGAGGGAGAGGAGGGAAAGGGGGAGGGGGAGAGAGAGATGCTAGCGCATGAGGGGTATGTACCCTATGTTGCATCGTTCAGCCTGGATACATGGGGATCCAAACAATTAGGGGGCACATGTAGCGGGAATACAGGGACAACGCGAATCCCCAATCTATATCTATATCTATACCTATTAATAAAGCAAAGTGCGTTTCTCTAATTTTTTCATCCGTTCACCCCTTATTATTTTTTCTAAATTTTTTTACTATCCGAGGTGGTACTAATTTTCCGTCCCTCCGTCGTTGGCCTGACATGATTTTTTGTCGATTTTAACGCCACGCCTGTGGCCGGCCCATCTAGGTCGTGTCAGGCAGCCCAATAGCAGTCCAAGATGGGGAGGCAAAAATATTTGCTGGTATAAGGAATTGAACTCGCAACCTGTAATAAAGGACCCCCACCAACCGCCAACTGATCTAGATCGTCTTATGCTGATTTTGTACCGTAAGTTTGTCTATTGAATAGTACCACATCGCCCTTTTACGTCCAACCTCATCAATTTATATACGTCTTCAAGTTATTAGGTAACAATCAACTCAATATGCTAGACCGGGAATCAAAATACGTATAAGGAGAAAGGAAAGGATTGAAAAGAAGGAATAAAACTAGGGAAGGAAAGGAATTTAAAGAAAGAATAAAATAAAATTCGATGTGCCCTTAAGAAGGAAAGAAATTAATAGAGAGAATAAAGTTGGTTGTGCCTTGGGAAGGAAAGAAAAGGAATTAATAGAGCGAACAAATTTGGCGGATTAGGTGCCAAATAATACATCACATGTACATTGTTTCAGGTGATTTCGTGTAAGGTGTAACTGATAGACGCTTTCGTGAGGTGACAATGGTAAAAAATAACTATGAGTATCTCTCTCATGTAGCATAAACAACATGGATCCATTTTCTAGGAGACAAATTCACTAATTTCCCTGAAAAATGTCGTTGACATCGGAAAATATATTGTTGTTATAGTTGAAGAGTTGTTATATTTTTTGATATTAAAAAGTTAAGACCATCCTTCTAGATCTAATATTGATATGACTGCTAAAACATTTCATTTATTTCCCCATAAATCTTAGTAATACAAAATTTTGCATGAAGTGCAATATGTTTTGCAGTGCTCACTACATTTTTTCTCCCGTTGCAACACATGATCTCAGATAGGTGAGTTTCATCTTCCGTTGGTGGTGTTTCACTAATTATGTCCCGCGTCATCTACATCAACATAGTGCGCTCATGGTCGGAGGGGGATGAACAAGGAGAGACATTTGATCGACCCGCCAGTGCCCATCACCGACGCACTCCACTATTGGGCATCGCTAGGAAGAAGCCGTCACTGCATGATCCATTGGCACCCGTCACCAATGCACCACCAATCGAACTCATCGCCCGGTGTTTCTGATAAGAAACACTCACTTTCCCTATAATATTAGCCGAAGGATCTCTACTCCTAATGGAGCAGTTGGTAGTCTCGCTTCCAGGTTTTTTTTTCGTCCCACCACTTTCGTCCAGTTTTTTTCGTAGGTTAACCGTCGTAGATTTTTTTCGTCGCCTCCCCCACTTCATCGGTTTATTTTCACTTCACCCTCTCACACAACGAAAAAAACTGAACGGATCAGAACTTTCCATATCGACGCAAATTATTTAGTAATGTCTTTATGTAAAAGAATCAATCACAATCAATCTCTAAAGATCAAATCTAAATTAATTAATCTTCATAACGTTTGTTTCCTTTTGAATCACGTCCATAACTTTCCTTCCTTGTTTGGGCAGAAACTGTTTGGTAGCAGAGATTAGGAAGCTTCCTATGAGTGTATTAATAGGAAGTATTCTTTTTCTTGATGTTCATTTCCATGCATGATGATAGTAAATTAGGTCAACATTCACCACTATTTATCAACGTCATCAATCGTATCCATTCCTACCAGTTTTAAGGGAATCTGCTCGCTATGTCTTTTTTAAGGGGATCCGCTCGCTAAGTCGTCGTCACACGTTATTTTCACAAGCAATTCCCCTAAAAAAAGGCGTGGGTATTGGTAGTTGAACGCCCGCTAGGTTTTCCGTCTGTCCCATCCTCGCGCTGTGCCGCCGCCACCCGCCGAATTTCCAGCCTCCCGAGCCCGTTAACTTCGCCAGCCATCGGGTCGACTGCCCCCGCCCCAAACCCCCATCCCCGAGCACTAGCTATCGCCGCGTTGCCGCCCCAAGCTCCACGCCACCGGAAACGAATCAAGCGCCGTCCCGACACCGCCGTCGCCGGCCCAGCACCTCCAGCCTTGCATGGACAGCTTCAATGTGCAGTCTCCCTTGCTGCCTCACCTTCTGCCAGCGCATGCAGCGGCGGGGTTGAACGCGTGCGTGCTTGCTAGCTTGCTCTCTGTCTTCTGAGGGGGTGAATGCAAAGCAGTCTATTAAGCCAGGCACTATTGCTGAGCTAAATTGACAAAAAAATATTGATAGCCATAGTTGTAGTTTAAGTAGTACTGAGTTGTCTGATATGTATAAAGAGCCCGTTGCAACTGAGCCCGTTACTAAATTGACAAAAAAGGTCGCCAGTGTCACT